ACTGCCCGGAAGTGGCTGGCTTGAGAGAATGGTGGGGGTGGATTGCAGAAACCCTATGAGGTCTACCCACCATTAACGTGGTGTGGCGTCTGCCCCAGTAGCTCAAGTGCATGGGGCCAGGAGCCCACCCACTCTCACTAAAGAACCTGCTGCAGGAGTTCTGCTTCCCTGCCCGTGACCTTGGGCTAGTGTCCAGGAAAGGAATGCTCCCAGCAGGAAGCACAGGCCAGGCTGCCCTCCCCCACTCCCAGTGTGCTGGCTCCTCAGGCAGAGAAGGGACCTCTGTCCTGGCTGGGAGGGTCAGTCGTGGCCGGCAGGCCGCCTCCTGATGCCAGCATCCCACATTAGGGTCCTGGTTCAAGTCTGGGCTGCTCCACTCCCAAGCCAGCTCCCCGCTAATGTCTCTGGGAAGGCACGGAAGATGGCCCAAGTGCTTGGGCCCCTGAACCCACGTGGGAGACCCGTGTGAAGTTCCAAGCTGCTGGCTTCAGTGTGGGCCACACCCGGTAGTGTGGGCATTTGGGGCATGAACCAGCAGATGAGAGGGCTCGCTCGCTCTCCCCCCCCCTTCTCTCTCTCTCTCTTTCCCTCTGTGTTGCTCTGCCTTTCAAATAAATTATTTCCTGAAAAACGGGTGTAGACCGAGCGATTCTTCCAAAGCACTAGCAGCTCCGAGCGCCCACGCTGCACGGTGCTGTCTCAGGACAGCCGAGCGTCTTCTAGTCACAGGGGACAGGCCACAGAGCCGGGCACCGAGGAATGAAAAAAGAATTCAGGGCGTGGGAAGCCATGAGGAAAATGCACCGGGTAACTGGTGACACGGGGGGGGGGGCTCCCTGTGGATGGACTCCCAGGAGGTGGCAGGGGGGCTGTCCTGTGAGCAGAAGGCAGCCAGTGAGCGATGGCAGAGGGGAGCAGGGCCAGGGGCCAAGGCCGGAGCTGCAGGGTGGGCCCGGGCCTGCGGGAGCTCCTGCGGCGGCCGTGACCGCCGTGACCCCGGCCGTGGTTTCTGAGGTTTCCGGCCGCCTGAGTCTCTGGGTCGCAGCGCTTCCTTCAGGGCGTTGCTCCTCCTCGACCTCGACACCCAGGCCGACCACAGCGAGGACGCTGGAGGTCAGGGGCACGGGCCAAGACCCTGCCAGGAGGAGGCACACAGACACCCCCGCATAACCCCTGAGCGGAGGCAGGAGGCAGGAGAGGGACCCCATCTGTCACAGGGCTTTTGCTTCAGGCCGAGGGGCAGGGGCTTCTCTCCTGCTCTTTGTTCAACTCTGGCTGTGCAGGAGGGGACGATGGAATTGGGCAGCCATGGTCACAGAGGCCCAAGTGGCCAGGGCCAAGCCATCCTGCAGACCCCCCAGCCCCCAGGAGCAGAGCCGGACAAAGGCCAGAGAGCCTGCATGTGGATTTAAGGCCCAGGCGCGGGGGCAGGCATCTGGTGCCGGGGTTGGGACAGCCTGGGGCGCGTGTTGTGGCAGGTCGCCTGCGTGGCACACTGAAGTGCCCGGGCGCAGCTCTGCCTCCGCCCTGCTTCCTGTCCAGTTTCCTGCTATTGTGCCTGGGAGCCAGCAGTGTTGGCTGAAGTGCTGAAGCCCAGCCAACCCCACAGCAGCCCCTGACGCGTTCCTGGTTCCCGGCTGCAATGTGGCCCAGCCTCTGCTCCTGCAGGCACTCGGGGAGTAAACCAGCAAGCCAGCAGATGAAAGCGTGCATGAACGTGCACGAATAACTAAATAAAACCGCATCTAATCAGTCAGGGGCCCAGCAGGAAGCAGCTTGCTCCCTCAGATTAGGCTTACTCTGAGAGGTTCTATTCGTAAAGCCCAGTGACAGAGCAGGAGGCTGGGGGAGGGGGCTGGCACAGCCGCTGCACCTGTGCCCCATGGCTTCCGAGGCCCCTTGGGGCTCCCCTACTCTGCTACCTGCTCTGTGTTGGCAGAGCTGTGTGCGAGCCCAGCGACTCTGCACGGAGGCTCCGATAACAGTGGCGGAAGGGGGGAAGGAGACAGAGTGGGGCGTGCCTCCCCGCCAGGCCCCCGGCGTGTCCGATCGAAGGTCGAGCTCCGGTGAGTCTCCCTTCTGGGTTCCAGCTGAGGGTGGCCTTGGCCTGCTGCCCCAGCCCAGGGCCGGCAGCTCTGCCCAGCCTGCACAGACAGGCCCCAGCGCACCCCGCCTTCCTAACCCCTCCCACGTGTCCTTGAGGGGAGTGCACCGTCATAGCCGGCAACGTGCCCTGCACCCAGCAGCGCAAAGTCCGGCAGCAGCCAGCAGTGCCCCTCGGGACGGCCGGGAGCCAGCACCCCAGCTCCCCGTCTGAAACGAGAAGGGCCCGCCCCAGCGCCTGTGTGGCTCACGGAGGTCACAGGCAGCAGGCAGCCGCACTGGGCACGGCACCTGCACGGAGTTAGCTGTCATCACAGGCAGCAGACGATAACAGGCCGGAGGTGCAGTGCGCCTGCGGCCCGGGCCCCCCGCCTGTCCGCCCTCCTGAAACCTGGGGCCGGGGGCTTCAGATGCCTCAGCCATAAAGGCAGCCCCCAGGCTGGGACCCAGGCGCCCCTGATCTGCAGAGGGCACTGCTTGTACCCGGGAGGGGTGGGCAGGAACAGGAGTTCAGGGAGGAGGCGGAGCGGGGGCGGGGGGCGGTGGGGCGGGGGTTCCCGGCAATGCTGCAGACACTGAAGTGCACTTTGCTCCGCTCGTTGCAGACTGCACTTCCACTGGCAGTGGGAACCTGGGAAGGCAGGGACCGGAACAGTCCCCATTGCACAGAAGGGCAAACTGAGGCTTGCAGAGGTGGAGTCCCTGCTGGCCGGTGGCAGGGCCCAGTCTTGAGCCACAACCCTGCCTTTCCCCAGAGCACCGGATGTCTCCCTCCAAGCGTGGCTGCTGCTCTTCCTTGGAAAGAAAGAACAAGCCCCCTCCCCCCCCCATGGCCTCTGGCTGCCCACTCTGCCTCCCCCTGACTCTGCAGACTTGGAAACTGAGTCTCAGGGGTTGCCACAGACCTGTCCAGGGGCCCACAGCAAACCGAGGGAGGAGCCAGGGCTCCACGGATGCCCGGGCATCAGCCCCTGAGCACAGGTGTCCGCAGAGCAGGCCCGAGGGGCAGACTGAGGATGCTCTGTGCCTCCGGACAGGGCCAGCATCCGAGCACCTGGGAGCTCGGAGAAATGCAAGCAGACCCTCTCCGCCAGCCCCCAGACGTGGCCACTGCCCACCGAGATCCAGGACGGCCGGGCCCCTCGCCTACCCCTGTGCTGCTTCACTCCAGGGCCCCATCTCCAGGCCAGGGGTGGGGGTGGTCACTGTTTTAGTCAGCTTTTGGTCAACAAAACAAAATCCAAGAAAACTCACAGTACAATCATCTTAGCTCAGTCTTGAGGCTCAAGTCCTAGGCGGCCCACACACAAAAGGGAGGGCTCCGGAGTCAAGGCGCCAACCCAGCCCGATGGCCTTGCAAAGGCCTGGGGACAAAGCCTCAGGGGATGTTCCCCCATCAGACTCCCTCCCGATGGCAGCACTGGCCTTCCCCGGCCCTGCCCGTGCTGAGCGAGAACGGAGGGAGTCGGGGGGCTGTCACCCTAGGGCTGCGCGGGCTCGTGGGCAGCCCGCGGCCACGTGTGCAGCACCCTGAGCAGGGGTGTCGCCTTGGCCCTCGGCGCCTCCGCGCCTCCCCGCGTCCCCCGCTCCCGACTCCTGGCGCGGGAACTCCACGGCCGCCGCTCCCACCGGACTCCTGGCCTCCTGCACCTCCACCCCAGCACCCGGGGAGCGCAGCGCTCGGGGGTTCTACGCGCCCACTCCCCAGGTTCGCCGGCGAGAAGTCGCCCCGCGCTGGGGAACCCGGGAACCGCGCCGCCGAGGCACCTGCTGCTGAGCTGGGGAGGGCCGGGGCGGGCGCGGCGAGGCTCCCGCGTACTGCGGCCGGCCGGGACCGGCCTGGACCCCTCCAGGGCGGAGCAAGGCTGTACCGTGGGGTCTGTCGGAGACCGGCGCGCCCTGGCGCCCCCGCACGGAGGAGCCCCAGTGCCTGCGGCCGTCCTGGGAAGATGTAAGCCCCCGCCCGCAGTGCCGCTGTGGGGCCGGGGTCCCAGGCAGCGAGGTGTGGCCGAGTGACCACGGGTGGCGTCTCGGCCTCCCCGCGCTCCGCTGGTGGAACGATACCGGCCCTCCGCCCCCGCCCGGGCTCAACGGCCGAACGCAGGGATTGTGTATCCGGACGTGTCTGTGCCGTACGAACCCGTTTGCACGCAGGCGCAAGTATTTGAAACTTCGCGCTTCTCACCCAAAGGAAGCTCCGGCCTCAGCCACTGCCCATTTACCCACACGTCCGGGGCAAGGGTCCGTCCCTGCCGGTGTAACCGGAGCTGCCCCTCCGTGGGATGGGCCTGGGGTGTCTCGGGGCTGGCAGTGGTGGTGGCAGTGGCCCTCGGAAGTCCCTGGAGACTACCACGCGCAGGGCGACTTGGAGGGGCGGGCCTGCCAGGCTCTGGTCAGCGCCGCGACGTGGGCTGGGCCCAAAGCCCACCGCTTTCAGGCCCTCGCCGCGCGCTCCACGCGCCCCGCGCTGCCCCCTCGCTTCCACCCCAGGTGGCCTGCCCTGTAACCGGAAATCAAGCAGCTCCAGGCCCCAGTCCCGAGTCCCCCGACTTCCCAGTCCGCGCGACGGGAGACGGGTCCCCTAGAGAGCTCGGGGTCACCCACAGGCAGCGAGCATGTGCTTTCGGAGTTTTGAATGTTTGCTTCGAACCTCGCTTAGTCCACGTCGTGACTAGAACCCAGGAGCATATCTGCGGGATTCTCCTCCCTGAGTGTGACGGGTTCAAGCCCAGAGAGCTCGTGAGCGAACCCCCGAGGCCTAACGCTCCCGGAACCCCGGGCGCGGGCAGTGGACGCCCCGGGGCTCGCGGCGCCGGGCCGGCCGGGGCGGGCGTTGGTCTGCCGGGCCGTGAGGGGGCGCGGAGAGACCCTCGCGCTCGCCGTCCCCGCCCAGCCGTGACCCCCGGGAGTCTCGCTCCGGCAGCCCCTTCCTCCTCCGTTAAAGCTGACGGTTTTCGGGCGGGAACGTCGTGCAGCCACAGCATTCGCGGGCTGAGGATCGAGTGTGGGGGCGGGCAGTGAGGCCCCCGCCGCCCACTACCGGTCCCCTCCACCGCGCCCTGTGTGCTTTCTCGCGGACAGGCAGAAGCGGGGACAAATACACGCCCACGGCGCTCTCCAAACCGCAGGTCCCCGCCCGCGGGCCGCGTGCTGTGCCTCAGGATGGCCGCAAGAGGACGCTCAGGCCTTGGGCTGGGGAGGGGGCCCCTGCAGCCGCGGCCTTCCCCTTCCTTTACTCCACAGGGAGGCCCCGAGAGGGCCAGGGTCCCCAGGTTACACCGCAAAGACGGTGTGGCCAGGACGCAGAGCTGCCGGCAGCGAAGCCTGTCGCTTTGGAGCAGGTCCCGCGAGGGCAGGAGAGGGGCAGGAGCAGAATCTGACCCCGAGGAGGCCTCTGCAGCCTCTGGTGTGGGGTCCAGGCCCACTCTGCAGGTGCTGCCTGTCCCCAGCCACGCAGCGTCGGCCTCAAGGGGCCTGGCAGGTAACACCCAGGCCACAGCAGCCCCTTAGGGAGGGCCAGCTCGGCACTGACACACAAGGAGAGCACTTCCCGTCCAGTGCCCGGAGGCAGGGGTGGCCTTCTGGGGGCAGCCAGTGGAAGGGGAGCACGAAGGTACTGGGGTGATGAGATGGTGCAGGCACGGGCACGTTGGCCGGGTCCCAGGTGTCAGGTCCACGTGGGACTCCTGGGACTTGCCGGCCGGGAACCCGCACCCCCACCCCACCATGAGCTCCTGGCCTCTCCACTCAGGCCAAGTCCCTGGGCCATTTCCCCGGCCTCACAGGATCTCTGCCACCCTCTCTTTCCACTCACATCACCACTTCTGCCACGCCGCAGCCACAGTGCCCAGCGGCTGACCCTGCTGTGCGTGGGACCCGTGGGACCCTGGAGACTCCTGCAGAGAGCTGTGGCCAGCCCACGTCCTGGCCTTGGAGGCTGCGACATTCCAGCATTTCTGTTAATAAATGGATGTTTACTTTATAAATTAATGGTAAACGAATGGTGAGGAAGATGAGTGGTGGAGAGACAGACGTCAGAACAGTTGACTAATGTTTACATTTTATTATTTATTTGCAGATGATGTAAGAATATAGTGTAAGGTAGTAGATGAATACAAGGAGAATGACGGGTGGCTGAGTTAGATGGCTGAATGGCTGATGGGGGCGTGAATGACGAGGTGGGTCTGAATCAATGGGTGAATCACGGAGGCGGTGAGAGTGAGTGTGTGGATGACGGCTGGACACAGGCTGATTGCATGTGGTAGGTGGTGGTGCTTCGTGGTGGATGGACGGAACACAGTGGGAGCATCTAGGTAGTGGTGGTTGGTCAGGTGATGTGAGCAGACAGATATATTGAAAGATGGGGTGGATGGCTGTGGATGCTGAACTGAAGAGTCGGTGGACATGGAGTGAATCCATAGATAGTGGGTGAACTGCAGGTTATAGTGGGTGGATAGTGGACGCTTGGTTTGTGGATGAATCATGGAAGTATGGGTGGATGGATGGTGGGTGCTAGATAAATTGAAAATGGATGATTGTGGGCCGGCGCCGCGGCTCACTAGGCTAATCCTCCGCCTAGCGGCACCGGCACACCGGGTTCTAGTCCCGGTCGGGGCGCCGGATTCTGTCCCGGTTGCCCCTCTTCCAGGCCAGCCCTCTGCTGTGGCCAGGGAGTGCAGTGGAGGATGGCCCAGGTGCTTGGGCCCTGCACCCCATGGGAGACCAGGAAAAGCACCTGGCTCCTGGCTCCTGCCATCGGATCAGCGCGGTGCGCCGGCCGCAGTGCGCCGGCCGCGGCGGCCATTGGAGGGTGAACCAACGGCAAAGGAAGACCTTTCTCTCTGTCTCTCTCTCTCACTGTCCACTCTGCCTGTCCAAAAAAAAAAAAAAAAAAAAAAAAAAAAAAAAAAAAAACAAATAGTAGAAAACGGATTAATGGAAGGTGAACATGGATGAGGGACGGTAAACAGGTCACGTGTGGCTGCAAGGTGCATGGTAGGTGGGTGTTACATGAAGAGATGGATAGATGTAAAATGGATGATGAACGAGAACAGCTGTTGAGCGATAGCGAGTGCTGGGTGGGGTGATCACAGGCAGTGACTGCGGATCGTGCTGGTGGACGCATGCCCTCTGCTCTCTCTTCTCTGGGTAGTGCCCAGTGCCGAGGTTCACACGTGGCACTTAGAGGGATGGACGACACAGTACTGAGGTCGATTTGGGATGCTAGTGATTTTGGCTACATAGGTAGAGGAAATGCTGAGACTGACATTGAACAGACAGACATGGAGATGAGAGATGGTAGGTGGTAGAGAATTGGTGGTTGGATGATGGTGGACTGTTGTTCATGGAAACGTGGCCGGGTGATGCATGGTGAATGGCTGATGGACGAATTATGGTTGGTTGGATGGATACATCAGGATACAGGGATAGTAAGTAGATGGGTAGACTGGTGATTGGCAATTGGATATGTGGTAATGGATACACGAAGGGTGGATGGACAGATAGCTGTTAAATGTCTGTGGAAAGCTGTTGCATGGTGCATGACGGATGCATAGAGGTGGGTGGGTGGTGAAGGAATGGTGGACTGCTGGCTATTCTCACGGTGTGAATGGTGGGCATGGGTAGTCAGCAAATGAAGGCACGGTGGATGAATGGTGGCTGGACAGTGAATGGTGATGGGAGGTCACATAATGGTTTGTGGCTGGTAGATAGTGGATGAGCCTTGGCCATTGGATGGTGATTGAGCGGTGGCTGGTGAACAGATGGACGGTAGTTGGACAGGGGAAGGTGATGGCGGATTTCGGACAGGGAGGATGTTGATGATGGCTGGCTGGTGGTTGATGCTGAATGGTGGCTGAATGGTGGTTGAGTGGCAGACAGCAGATGAGAGCTGGCCGGGTGAGTAGTTGCTGGTTTGTAAATGTTGGATGGCAGCTGGATGTTAGCTAATTGATGGTGGACATTAGATGGTGAAAGATGGGAAAGTATGTGGCTGAGAGAGTGTGCCAGGTCTCTGAACTGGACTGACACCTATCGTCTGTCCTTTTGGGAGACGGGACTGGGACGGAGAAGAGAGGGGAGCTGTGGGGTGACTCCCTGCTCCTCGATACTCATTCCATTTTGAGGTCGTCCTCTTCTTTTCCACTCCTCATTCTGCTGTCCCAGGTGTCCTCTGGCTATGTGTTTGGTCCTATTGAACTCCGCACTCCAAATTCCTGAACCCTAAACCTTGGAGCCCAGCATCTTAAGTGGCTGGGGTCAGATTCTCAGGGCACAGACTCAGGGGATGGGCTCAGCAGGAGGCTGAGGTCCTGCCTGGGAGCCGGAGCCGGGAGGGTGGCAGCGCCGAGGGCTGGCCAGAGTGTGAATGAGAGGCCAGGCAGGCAAGGAGCAGGGAGTGGGCGGGAGGCACCGGGGAGGGAGGGCTGGAGGGAAGGCCAGCCGGCAGGCGCAGCACAAGCCGAGCGTGGAGGCCCCGGTGCCTGCTTCCAGCACGGGCGGGTGAGTGTGAATGATGCCCCCACCCCGCCCTGTGAGTGCCCCCCACCTCATGCACCCTGACGACCAGGTGTGGGGGAGCAGGAACAGGGGGTTGAGGAGTTCTGAGTCGGAGCTCTCTGGGGGAGAGGGAGGACATGGGTTCCCCAGGACCCAGGCTCTGGGCCACAGCAATGGCTGGGGGGCGGGGGGCTGTGCTGGGTGCACCTGCCCCTCCACACCTGCCTGGGGGAGGCTGCAGTGCCTGCTGCCCATGCTGGCATTGGCCCCTGGCACTGGTGGAGACTTGCTCTCTGCTGGCCCCTTGGTTGGCTCAGGGTGACAGCCCCGTCACCTGGCCCTCCCGTCACTCCTATCGGGTACCCTGTGTGTTCTCTCCAGGTTCCCCACCCTGGCCCCTCCCCTGTGCTCCTCCCCTTCTCTGTGGCCAGTGGTTTTCCCGCCTCTTTCCCCCAACTGTTTGGTGCTTGAGTCCACACAGGCCTCTGTCCTGGCTGCCCTGGGCTTCAGGGTCCTGAGATGCGACCCCAGGAGGGGCTTTATGGAGGGGCAGCCCCAGGAGCAGCGAGTGTGAGCACTGGGATTGGATGGAGGCGCAGGGTGTGTGGCCTGGCTGCCCACTGCCCCTGCAGGGTGTGCCCCTCTCCCAGCCTTCCCTGGGCCTCTATGGGACCTGAGCTGACCTGGGCTGGGAGTTTGGTGACAAAATCCCATTTCCCACAAGAGCAGCCGTTCCCCAGCTGAATGCCCACAGCGCCCCCTCCCCACACCCAGCAGGGCATCACGGGCGCCCCCTGCCCCATCCTTCCTGGACCTTGCCTGTGACCTTGCCACCTGCCAAAACTGGGTCCCACCTACCGCACCTACCCCTGTTTTCCCCTCCCTCCTGGTGTGTCGTCAAGCATGCAGGTGGGGGCAAGGCTGGCCGTGACCTTCCAGAGTGAGTGCTCGGCCGGTGCGGGCAGGGTGTCAGTCTCCTTCCACGATGGGTTTCAGCACCTGCCCTGGTGTGCATGGAGGGCTTGTGGCGGGGGTATGGGCACCTTGTACCCGGCTCCCGCTCCTCCCAGCCTCCGGCTCATCTGGGTCCCCCAGGCGCTCTGTGCCCATCCTTCGCTGCTCCCTGACTCAGAACAAACCTCGGCTCCCACCCAGTCCAGCTGCCTCCTGCTCACCCCTCAGGCCTCGAGCCGGCTTGCTTTCTTCCAGGAAGCGTTCTTGGGTCCTCTCCCCCGCAGCCTTGGATACAGAACTGTACATGAAGGAGTTCAGCCGAGTATGGGGTGAGGTGGGGCTGGCTGACCGTTGCAAGGCCTCTGGGGAGGGGACCCAGACAGAGTGAGCAGCCCAGAGTCTCAGGGCCCAGCCTGGAGCCTGGGGTCGCAGACACAGCACCCTGGCAGGTGGGATCTGGCCCCAGCCCTGGTGACACCTGCCTTCTGCCCCCGTCTTTGCAGGTGGCAGCGGTGGCCACAACATGGGTACCCCCCAGCCCGCGGTGCCAGAGCTCCATCCCACTGAGGGGGCTGGCAGTGTGGCAGGGAAGGTATGTGATTGGGGTCCTGAGGCCACTGAGGTGGGGCGGGCAGGCAGGTCCGGGCCACGGGGTGCCAAGGGACGAGGGAGTGCAGTGGCCTCCACCTGCAAAGGCTTTGAATGGGAGGTGGAGAAGCCGGGAGGCGCCCCGCCCCGCCCCCGCGCTCTCCTGGACTCTGAACAATGAGGAGGAGCAGCCTGGCAGCAGCGCGGGTTGCCATGGCAACAGATTCCCAGCGCCTCTGAGCCGAGGGAGGTGGCCAGGGGCCCAGCAGGGAAGACCCCGGGGAGGGGCTGTGCAGGATTCCAGGTACAGGAGGCACAGGGTGGCCGTGTGCACAGCAGCCCAGGGATCACGCCTGGTGTGGACTTGGCCCCTCCAGCTGTAGGCTGCACGTGGGGGCTGAGCCCAGGTGGGGGCCTAGGAAGTCCCCAGGGAGAGCCGCGATCCCTAGTGGTGGGGTGAGGGGGGCTGGGACTCGTCTTGGGGAAGCCTGCGTGTGCATTCCCATAGGCAAGCACACATGTCTGTGCGTGCGCACATGGTCATATCTACCTTGGGCCTGGACAAAGAGGCCTCTGAACCTCCCAGTGGGACAGGTGCTGGACAAGAGCGGGAGGGAGCTGGAGCCCAGGGCCTGGCGCAGCCTTGACCCCTGCCCACCCGCCCTGCAGGCTGTAGTGGGTGCCCGGGAGAAGGGCCCTCGGCTGGGCCAGCGGCTGCCCTCGATCATGGTGGAGCCCAGTGAGGCCGGTGCAGTGGAGAGTGGGGAGCTACGCTGGCCCCCAGAGGGTGCCCAGAGGGGAGCCCCTCAGAGCCAGACCGGTGAGTGGGGGCGGCCTGTGAGGGGAGCTTGGAGGCCTACGGTGACCTGGCCTTGACCTCTCTCCCACCTGCATGAGAGCTCCCCTCATCCAGCGGCCCCAGGCCTGGCAACCGGGAGGGCACGGTCAGCACGTGCTGAATGACTGCGCGTCGTTGCCCCATTCTGCCCCCCTCCCTGTGCACCCTCGCTTGGTCACCTTCAAACCAAGTGCCCACCAGGGCCTGGGAAGGGACAGGTGCAGCTGTGACGAGACAGCTGGCCCAGCGGCTGCAGGAGCCCTGATGAGCAGCCGACGCCCCTGAAGGAGGGGGCCGGCCAGGGCCAGGACCGAGGCGCAGAGCAGACGGGCTGGGCAGCGGGGGCCTCTGTGGAGGGCCCCCAAGGCCCCCAGGAGCCGGGCCCTGAAGGTGTGGTCCCCTGAAGTCCCCTGGAGAGGAAATGAACTCAGCCAGCTGGGGCCCCTCCAGCCCTGCCTGCCTCTCGCTGTCCCTGGACCTCGCCCTCTGCTGGTCAGCACCCCTGGCTCTGTCAGTTTCTGCCCCGGGCTGGGGACAGCATCAGGGACTGCCCTCGGGCATCCATGGGGATGTGAACCTGGGAATGCCCCGGGGTCTGCCCTGGACCCTTCACTCTGTCATCCACTGGGCCTGGTGCTCCTGGGCCTGCCTCATCTTCCCTCCCTTGGGGACACCCTGGCCTGCCCTTCCTCTCCCCCAACAGCTGCCTGCCAGAGACCCCTGGGCTACCCCGGGTTGCAGCCCTCCACTAACACGGAGGCCTTCGTGTCTCCACAGCCCCCTCGCCAAGTTCCCCGGGTGCCCCAGGGATGACTTCAGATGACGCTGCCAGCACCGGGGACCAGTGACGGGGTGAGGACACAGCCTGGCTCGCTCTCTGCCCGTTGAGAGCCCCACCAGGGTGGCCCGGCTGCTGCACAGACCCCCGCAGGCGGGCTGCGCTGCAGCTTCCTGTCTCGGCTGCGTGGCCCAGCTGCAGCTCTGCCCCTGCTGCCGCTGCTCCGGTCTCACCACACCCTCCTCGTCCCGCGGTTTGGAGCAGAAATAAAAGCACCTCTCAGTGGCCGACGGGTGTGTACTTGTTGAGGATTCAAGGGACTGAGGATTTTGGTTCTGATGGTGGCCTTCCGGGCAAGGGCTGGGAGCCAGGTGGGGGCCACTTGGTGTGCAGCAGGGCGGGCTCTGCGAAGACCCTAGGGCTGGCACTGAAGAAGTCAGACACTCTTTCTGCCCTGCCCAGCCCAGCCCAGGCTGCCCTGGGCAAGACCCGCCTCCCCCGGGTTTGTCCCCACTACCCCTCCCCCCGCAGGAGCCCCTCCTGTAACCCCCCACGGCAGCAGGGATGGTGTCAGCCCAGGGTGATGCCGGAGTGGGGGTCCCCCTCCAGGATGGAGCTCATCACATCTTGCAGGGGAGGAAACAGGTGAGAAGTGAGGGCCTGGGACGAGCGGTGGCCAGGGCTTTGAAGGGATCCCTGAGGCTGGGCATGGCCAAGCTGGCCACAGGGCCCACATGGGAGGGTCCTGTCCCCCCATAGGGTCCATCGACATGGTAGGGGCAGGAAGGGAGCCATGCTGCCTGGGCAGGGATGGTATGGGGAGGGCAGGGTCCTGCAGGTAGCCCAGGGCCCACTCCCTCGCTGTGCAGCTGCTGTCCTGCCTGGTCCCCTGCCCTTGGCCAGCCTGAGCCAGGCTGCAGGCAGGGCCTACCGTGAAGAGACAGGAGGCAGGAGACCGGCCCCCCTGGTCTCTCCTGGAGCCTGCTAAGGTCCAGGATGAACGAACGTGCTCCACCCCCCAAACGCCAGAGAGGGCAGCCAGAGGGGCGAGGGTGCCCCTGGCAGCGCGGGAGCTTTGCTGCAACTTTGCCCGCACAGACCTGGGCAAGATCTTCCCGGCCCCTCCTGTCGGCCCGGGAGCCGGGCTGGGAGCCCAGAGGGAGCTGACCGGCCAGGCCGGGGATGGGCCAAGCGGGGTGCGCCTCGAAAGCGCATCGCTAACACGGCCGTGGCCTCCCCTGAGATCGGCACGGCCTCCCCTGCCGATCTCACCGTGCATCTGGGCGCCGAGTTGGTCCAGGCCTTGGCTTCCAGCTGGAGCTGGGGTCTGCCCGAGGGAGGAGGCCCCGTGCGGGCGGCCAGAGCGTGGAATCCGCCGGCAGGACCGCAGGACCCTGTCCCGCAGCTTCCTTGCGGTCCTTCTCCGTGAGCTCGCACAGCCCTGCCCCAGCCCCACCCGGTCCACACGCGCGACCTGGAGCCACTCCCACGGGATCGGTCCGCGGCGCCCCCTGGCGCCCGTTGGGGTCACTGCCGGGAGCGGCGAGCGTGGTGGGGCCGCGGGGCGCCCTGCCGGGTTCCGGGCCCCAGAGCGGAGGATGGAACGCGGGCCCCTCCCTGGCTAGGAGCCGGGCGGGTAGGATTTGCCGCCTCTGGCATCCACATTCCCGTGTGACAGCCCGGCACGGGCAGGCAGGGGGCCTCTGTCCACCCTTCCCCACCTGCAGAGGACCACATACCCGGCCATGATGAACCCCCCGACCCCAACCACAGCCCCACTTCCTGGAGGCGTGGCCTGAGGCGGAGAGCCGGGAGTGCTTCTCCCAGGGTCAAGGGGAGCTGGGCTGTCCTGTGCTGGGTCTCCCGATGGTCATCCCCTTCTCTGGACCCAGCCAGGCTGGCCCTGGCCCCAGGCTCCTCTGAGGCAGGCTGGGACTTTTCTGCATGGATTTTACTGGGAAAGCTGGGGCAAACAACTTGGACATGGACTAAGCAAAACATCACGTTGGTGTGGTGAAAAGTGGGCACAGGCTTGGGCAGGCTTCTTGGGGTGCAGCAGAGTTTGGGGGCACCCAGGAGCAGCCTCCAGGCCCTGGGCACCACCAGCTTCTAGGTCACTGGTGCCTGTGATTTGGGGCCCACGGCCCTCATGTGACCAGTGAATGGGGGCGAGGGGTCAGATTGAGAAGCCCCCCGGGGTCCTCCAAGTTCTGGCCCCATAGGAAGACAGAGTCAGAGGCATGGACGTGGCCCTGACCTCTCTCTCACCAGCTGTGTGGCCCAGAGCAGGTGGCTGAGCCCTGGTGGTCACTCGTGTCCCCTTGTGTCTAACTGTCGGGGACATGAGCTAGGAGGCCAGCCTGAGTGGCAGGAAAGGCACACTGGCAAGCTGGGCGCCCCCGGGTTTAAACTGGACTTGCATTTACTTGAAGATTTGTTTATTTGAAAGTCAGAGTGACAGAGAGAGAGGCAGAGAAAGATCTGCCTGCTGATTCACTCCCCAAAGGCTACAATGACCAGGGGGGCCAGCTCACAGCCAGGAGCCCAGAACTCCATCTGGGTCTTCCATGTGGGTACCAGGGGCCCGAGCAGTAGGCCATCCTCTGCTTTTCCAGGCACATCAGCAGGGAGCAGGCTCAGAAGTGGATCCCCCAACACTGGCCGGTGCTCTGATATGGGTTGCGGTCATCGTAGGTGGCAGCTTAATCTACCGTGACACAACTCGGCCGCTGAGCGGAGCTTGTGTTGCTCCCCTTCCCAGAGGGACCCATTGCTTACGGTGGCCTTCTCATGCCACCGCAGCTGATGACCCAGGAGGTTGACTGGAGGGCTTCCTGGAGGAGGTGCTGGTGGCTCTGGGTCCAACTTGGCTCAGCCGCGGACGGCAGTGGAGGACAGCGTATTTCAGGTGGCTTCCAGTGTGACGTGGGCTGGATTTTCTGCCCTCAGTATTCGTGGGCTGAAGTCCTATCCCCCCATACTTCAGAATGTGACTTGTAAAGAGTAAGGAAAAGCCAGGGCCACAGTGAACCTTAACCCACAATGAGGAAATCAGACACAGACACACAGGGAGGCCATGCAGAGTCCAGAGAGAAGCCGCACAGGCAGCCCAGCCTGGGCCCAACTGCCACCTGGGTCTCGGGGAGGATAAATGGCCCCTCTCCCAGAGGCTCCAGAATCATGTCACAGGGGCCTGGGGACAGCTGGAGCAGCCACACTGTCACAGAGGACAGGGGACAGCTGGAGCAGCCACACTGTCACAGGGCCCTGGGGACAGTCAGAGCACCACACTGTCACAGAGGACAGGGGACAGTTGGAGCAGCCACACCGTCACAGGGGCCTGGGGACAGTCAGGACAGCAACACTGTCACAGTGGTCTGGGGACAGTCAGAGCACCAAGCACCACACTGTCACAGAGGACAGGGGACAGCTGGAGCAGCCACACTGTCACAGAGGACAGGGGACAGCTGGAGCAGCCACACTGTCACAGAGGACAGGGGACAGTCAGGACAGCAACACTGTCACAGAGGACAGGGGACAGTCAGGACAGCCACACTGTCACAGAGGACAGGGGACAGTTGGAGCAGCCACACCGTCACAGGGGCCTGGGGACAGTCAGGACAGCAACACTGTCACAGAGGACAGGGGACAGTCAGAGCACCAAGCACCACACTGTCACAGAGGACAGGGGACAGTCAGAGCAGGTGACACTGTCACAGGGGCCTGGGGACATTTGGAGCAGCCACACTGTCACAGGGGTCTGGGGACAGTCGGAGCACCACACTGTCACAGGGGTCTGGGGACAGTCGGAGCACCACACTGTCACAGAGGACAGGGGACAGTCGGAGCAGCCACACTGTCACAGGGGCCTGGGGACATTTGGAGCAGCCACACTGTCACAGGGGCCTGGGGACAGTCAGAGCAGGTGACACTGTCACAGGGGCCTGGGGACATTTGGAGCAGCCACACTGTCACAGGGGCCTTGGGGCATTCAGAGCAGCCACACTGTCACAGGGGTCTGGGGACAGTCAGAGCAGGTGACACTGTCACAGAGGACAGGGGACACTGGGCACAGCTTCATGTCTCCTCCGCAGGGCCCTCAGCATGCCCCCTGCCCTCCCCACCCGCCAAGCAGGCACTGCTAGCTCGGGACGGGCCTGGATCCGGTCTCCCTGGATTTTCCCTGCATTTCTTTCCTAGGACGTGGGCAACGGAATCCCCCATGAAGGGAGCCCCACTTCCCGCTATGCGTCAACCCTGACAGGCTTGGCGTCGGGGGCGGGGGAGGGCCATGCTCAGCTCTCCAGGCTCAGGCCCTACCTGCTCCTTTGTTCTTGGGCTGGCTCCTGTGTGGACAGCGACCCCTCACTCCTGGGTGTGCCCGCTCCATCCTTCCAGCTCCCCGTGCTCTGGGGCAAGGACAAACGGCAGTCACCCTGAGTGCCCCCACCCCTGCCACCAAGGCCCAGTCCCACCCTCTTGGCTCAGCCTCTTGTGGTCTTGGGATGCATTCGATAGAGCCCCTGGCCTGGCGGGAGGTGGACGTTCCCCAGGCCAATGCCTGCAGCCCCTGGCCTCTGAGGGGGGCCGTCGTAGTCCCTGGGCACACCCACCCCCTGCTGCCCAGAGCCCCCCTTGCTGTCTCGCCTGTCCCTCTCCTTCCTCGTTCCCTGAGTGCAGGCTGCCTGCGACTAAAGGTCCGCGGATCTATAACCTCTGGAATGAGAAGGGGTGGGAACTTTCTGAAAGTGAAAGCAGGGGATCAGGGCTGGGGGTGGGGCCGGGGGTGGGGCCGGGTGGGCCCAGCAGCGCTGATCACGGCTGGGAAGTCCCAGCTGCCGGTCACTCACGCCGGCTGCTCCGGAGGCCCCAGGGCCTGGGTCCAGCGCTGAGGGTTTGCTCTGAGTCTCCCGGGGCTCCTGCAAGGGCCCAGCGTCTGCTCACTCCGCAGGTACGTTCCGGGCAGGTGGGCTGGTGGCAGGCGGGGCACCGGGTGCTAACGGGCGGGGACTGGAGAGAGGCCTGGGCTCCAACTCAGGGCCAGGCGGACTACAGAGCACCAGCTCCGTCGCAGTGCACACACCGACACCACACACACACCTGTAAACACACATACTCACAAGACATGATGGAACGGGTGCAGGCACAGCCACACACTCGCGGGCACACTCTCTGGGGCACACACAGGCCACAGCAGTCGTACATACAGGGAGACACAGGTGCCAAGCCAAAGACCCCCCACCCGGGGGCCCGCACTCTTCCCCTGATACCTGGCGTCTGTCGGCTCCCGCCCCCTCCCTGCCCTGCCCTGCCCTGCCCTGGGGGCTCCTGCCAAAGGGCAGAGACACTCCGGATGCTGTAACGGCCCCCAGCAGAGGGACTGTGACCGGGCCAGCATCTCGGAGGAGCCACGTGTGCTGGGCTGGCAGGGGCTGGGGCTGAGGTCACTGGGGCAGAGGGGACAGCCTGTGCGAAGGTGCTGGGGAGAGGAGAGAGCTTCCGCGGCTGAGTGGCGAGGGTCGGGCTGGCGAGGAGGGGCCTTGAATGTCAGGAGGCTGCGCTTTGCCTGGTCGCGGCAGCCCTGCAGGTGCCGTGTGCGCTGCTGGAGAGGGGAGTCTCTAAATGTGTCGGTTTTTTTTTTTAAAGATTATTTGAAACACAGAGTTACAGAGAGAGAGAGAGATCTTCCACCCGCTGGTTCATTCCCCAAATGGCCTTGACGGCCAGGGCTGGGCCAGACCCAAGCCAGGAGCTTCTTCCAGGTCTCCCACATGGGTGGCAGAGGCCCAGGTGCCTGAGCCACCTGCTGCTGCCTTCCCAGTGCGTCGGCAGGGAGCTGGCAGGAAGCGAGGCCGCTGAGGCCACAGCGCGGGCGCCACCCAGCCCGTGAGGGTCTCTTTCTGGGCTACAGGAAAGCGACTGATCGTGTCTGCCTAACCAAGAACGAACGTACCAATTCTTTCGTCAGCTTCAGTTCATTTCAGTCTCAGGCTGAATCACATCACCTTTGAGTAGTGAGTTCTACCTGTCACCCCCCTATTGACAGCTCTTGCTGACCTTGCTTTACTGCCGTCCTGGCAGGGCAGTTAGGAGGCACCGACAGGTGTTGGTAGGTAGCAGCTGGCCAGGCAAGAGGCGGGACGCAGGCCCGCTGGGTCACTGCCAGGGTGCAGTGGCTGCCTTTGGAGGGGTGGTGGCCCAGCCCCAGGGTAGGTAGGGAGGCGGGGCCGGGCACCAGGGACAACTGCAGAGGAGGAGCTGCTGCCAAGCGGGCATCTAGGAAAAGAGGGGCAGAAGAGAGGCTCAGGAGGCCGGTGGGGGAAGCCCAGGGTGGGAGTTCCAGGAACCATGTCTTCTGGTGGCACTCCCGGCCCTGCCGTGGTGTGCACCTGACCCCGAGCACGGGCTGGGCCCACTGTTGAGACTGGGCCTGGGTCTCCAGGGCTGTGGGGCTCAGCCAGCGTGACACGCAGCAGAGTGGCAGCACAGGAGCCTGGGCCTCCCTGGACAGGCAGGGAGCCAGAGGCCCACGGATGAGGGAGGCAGGTGTGGGGTGTGGGGTGAGAGGGACCTGCGGCTCTCAGCCCAGGAAGAGGGGCACCCCGTACACAAGCGGGAGAGGCGCACAGGCTGCCAGGCCAGTGCAAGTGCAGGAAGCCCACGTCACCCCCAGGACGGTCCCAAGTGCCCACGGGGCAGACAGGCGGTGAGAGTAGGCAGTGCAGTGGGATCTCCTGAAACCCAAGGCAGATTCGGGGAGCAGCCTGAGGGGAGCTGGAGGGCTGCAGAGCCGGGTGCACCATCCTCGCACCCCAGAGGTGCAGCTGAAGCAAGGCCAGTGCAGGAAGGGAGGGCTTTGCCTGGCAGCGAGCATGGGAGGAACGCAGGGGAGTGACCCATTTGCACTGGGGAGGGTCAAGAGTCTTGGGAAGGGGCCGGCGCCGGGGCTCACTCGGTTAATCCTCTGCCTGCGGGGCCGGCAGCCCATATGGGCGCCGGATTCTGTCCCGGTTGCCCCTCTTCCAGTCCAGCTCTCTGCTGTGGCCCGGGAGGGCAGTGGAGGATGGCCCAGGTCCTTGGGCCCTGCACCCGCATTGGAGACCAGGAGAGGCACCTGGCTCCTGGCTTCAGATCGGCGCAGCGCCGGCCGTAGCGGCCATTTGGGGGGTGAACCAGTGGAGGAAGCCCTTTCTCTCTGTCTCTCTCAAGTTGTAACTCTCTCTCTCTCTCTCTGTAACTCTCTTTCTCTCTCTTTCTGTCCAAAAGAAAAAAAAATGTCTTGGGAAGCTGCTGGGAGCTTCATGGTCCCAGGTGGCATGGGCTGGAGGCTGGGGGGCTCTGGGGGCTCTGGGGGGCTCTGGGGACTCTGGGGGGGCTCTCGGGGCTCTGGGGGCTCTGGGGGGCCTTGCCGCTCTGGTCTGGGGCTCGTGTGTGTGCAGGCCCCCAAGAGACCCACCCGTCCAGCAGCCCTTCCTCGCCCCAGAGTCTGATTTGGGCTCCCAGGGAGGGAAGCACTGACTCCATCCCCACTGTGACCCACCCCTGCCTGGGGGCCTCTCTGGGACCAAGGAGTTCAGGGGAGCAGCCCTGCCTGCCTGGTGCTTGGAGATCCAGGCCAGTGCAGCCCTTGCTCCCCGTCCCCAGGCTGTCCCTGAGCCCTGGTTCCTTCTGTGGCCTGGGAGGATGAGGCCTTGTCCTCCCAGGGATCTGATCTGTGTCGGGTGCTGGGCTCTCAGTGTGAGCCCCCTGCCAAGGCTCGCCCGCCTCATTCTTGCCCTGGGCCCCTCCATGACACAGTCCAGAGCTGGCAGCAAGAGCACAGCAGGGCTGGGGCCTTCTCTTCCTCCCACTCCCACCCTGCTGCCCCAGAGAGAGGAGTGGGGAAGCAGGGAAGGACCTGAATCAGGCAGGGTCCCTGAACCCAGTGTCCACGACAATGACCTGTGGCCAGGGTGGGACTGACAAGTTCCGGGTCAATCATTGCAGTTTGTCCTGCCTTTCCCAGGGCCTCCTAGCGAGAGGGGGCCTCAGGTGACCCCTGTACTGATACCTGGCTGGAGAGCATGGGCTGGGGGAGGGGCCGGGCCCTGCCCAGGGCAGTCATTCCACCCAGGCAAGCCCAGGCCTGGGGAGGGACAGTTCCTGCCTGAAGTCGTCCAAGGGTCAGGGGCTGGCCCCAGCCTGGGCCTTGTGGCCACCTGGAGCCCAGCTCGGGGCTCTGCCTCTGGTTAGTCTGCAATGCTGTTTCTCCAGGGTAAAACAAGCCCACTGGCTTCAGTGATACCCTCCCCCCGACCCATGGCCCAGTTTGCTCAAGGGGGTGGGTGGAAATTCCCTCCTCTCTGGCGCCCCCAGCCAAGCCTGCAGCCAGGAAAGCAAACATGGGAGACAGCTCCGGCCCCCTCATGCCCTTGGGACCCCTCCACGCACCCTGTGCGGGAGGAGCCGGAGCACGCTGTGGTGGGGATGGGGGGACGGAGAGAGGGGAGATAGGAACCCCCCAAGTCCTCCAGTTAAATATAGACCCATGGCTCCTCCCCTGCAGGCTGTGAGGCCGTGATAAGTGGCCCCGACCAGAGCCCTCAACCCCACAGCGCCTGCCTCCGGCTCAGCAACGCCTAGAAGAGGGGGTGGGCTCCGAAGGCACCCCGCTCTCCGCTTTGAGCGGCAGCTGCCAGACCTTTGGGGCTGAGGGGGTGAGTGGAGGGTGCTCCTGAGGGCAGTGGGGTGGGGGTCCTCAGGCCTTGGCACCTGACGTGCAGGAAGTCCTGGCGTGGGTCCTGTCCCTGCCTGCTGGTGTTGGGAGCTGGGCCCGTGGACCTGCGCATTCAGCACCTCCCGTTCTGGTGGGAGGGTCCGCCTGGCAGCCCAGTGAAGGCTGCCCAGGGCGGGACGTGCCCAGGGTGGGAGGCGCTCCTCAGACAGCCAGGGGCTTGCCTCCTGGAAGCCTCCCCGACAGAGCCCCTGGGGTCCGGCCAGGCCCCACCTGGCTTGCTCAGGGTTCTGTCTGCCCCCTGGGCCTGGGCACCCGTCAGGCCTCCTGAGCCCCCTGTGTGCCCCCCAGCTCTCCTGCTGCCAAGATGCCATCACCACGGACGGTAACCCCCGGGCAGGAGCCGGGAAGCCCCAAGGAGCCTGGGGAGCCCCAGAGTGCAGCTCAGGGCAGCCAGCAGGAGCTGGGCGCCCACCACGAGGACAGCACAAGGCCAGCGCTGAGCACCCTGAGGCGGGCCTTCTCAAGGACAAGCCAGGCGGCCTCCAAGGAAAACTCAGGCCGGCGCAGAAGCTCCCACTCCCTGTTCTGGCCTTCGCGGCGTGGCCCGGATGAGAGCCCAGGCACCGGACAGTCCCAGGTCACCGCTGTGCCAGAGGAGCCGTGGAGGGCCACGGAGGACGCTAGCCGGCGGGCATCCACCAGGGCGGGGTCGGAGGAGCTGGGATCCCCCACAGGTGACCACCTCACCGGGCAGGAGCAGAGCATGGAGCCAAGGCTTCCTGGGATCCAGACCCCCCAGGCCTTGCCCCGGCACAGCTGCACCTTAAATTCTTACAGCAGCACAGCAAAGGGAGCCCCCCCCAGCCAATAAGAAAAGTGAGGCTCGGGATTTGACGCCCGATCCGCGTGGCTCCAGAACCCTAACCTCTCCACTGCCTCCCATGGCTTGGCTCCTGGCCAAACTAGAGCCACGGGGGAGACCATGGCTCTGTCCCGGCACAGGGTCACAGAGGGTGCAGGGGAGCCGCGGCTGCCTGGGTGGGGGGTCAGGAGGGCAGCTCAGAGGAGAACACAGTGGAGCAGAGCCCTGAGTTGGGGGGCGGGGAATGGTGCCAGGCTCCTCGGTGGTAGGGGCTCGCAGAGAGCAGGAAGCAGCTTAGAAATACTGGAGTTGGCTCCCCGGGCAGGTCCCTGGATGGCACAGGGCATGACCAGCCAGAGCTCCGACCCGGTTACACTTGCTCTCAGGCCCGCCCACAAGGCCAGCAGGGGCAGGGAGCAAGGAAGGTGAGGGCTGATGGGGGCTTCTCTTTGCCCCAGGGGGCGGGTGCCTCCCGTGGGGCTTCGGGGTCTGCCCGCCTTAGCTTGGGCCCAGGGTCCTGGAATGGCCCCCCTCACAGCCCCTCTTCCTACCTGCTCTCGCAGAAGGCAAGTCCCTGGCCGACCTCATTACTGAGAGGGAACTGCGGGCTGCCTTCGAGCGGCTGCAGCGCCTGGAGACGCAGCTGGAGAACGAAAAGGCCTCGGGCGCCTTCAAGCAGGACCCCACGGCCTTCGCGCGGCGCGCCATGGACCTGTGCCTGCACTACGACGGCCTGGCGGCCGAGATCAGCGCCATCGTGCAGGAGACCCTGGGGCCCCAAGGGGTGGACGCGGCCGCGCTGGGCGAGCTGGCGCACGTGGTGCGCGCCGAGGAGCGAGCCCACCCGGCGCCCCCCGCCGACGGCGACTTCCTGCGCACGCCCCGCCACTGGCGCCGCCACTGGGAGGAGGCGGTGCAGCGCAGCGTCCGGGAGCGCGTGCGGGCCACGGCCCCGCAGGGCGCGGCGGGCCTGGCGCAGCTTCTGGTGGAGCTGAGGGACTTGGTTCGCCAGGACCTGCAGAAGGTGCTGCAGGAAGTGCAGCCCGCGTGCGCGGCCGCCGGCCTTCCGGCGTGGGAGGCCTACGTTGGAGCCTTCCACAGTGCGGTGGCCCAGCGCCTGCAGGAGCTCGCCCGCGACGCCCGCGGCTGTGAGCAGTTCTACCTGCTGCTGGACTGGGCCGCCAACGTGTACGGCAGGTGAGGCCTCAGCTGGGTGCCGCGAGGGCCGGGTGACCCTGCTCACCGGGCACTGGGGACCTCAGGACTGGTGGGGAGGGGACGGGAGCCTTTCTTGTCCAAGCCCCTCCGGCGAGGGCGGGTGACCTTTGACATTCTTTCTGCTGTGTCGGGCCAGGTGCGCCAGCTGCCCCAGATTGCCCTGGGGGGCCTTCCAAGCCTGCCTTCCCAACGCTGGAAGCTTCCCTGTTGGGAGCAGGGCGCTCCCCGTGCTAGCCCACAGAGTGCCGTGGGCGGACAGGCGACGGCCACCTCTCCAGGGCAAGCACCCCAGGGGGCAGTGCTTGGTGGGGTCCACCCTCATTTCCCCTTTGGACTGGCATCTAGGGGCAGGGGGCAAGCCTGCTGGGGGCTTCCACCTCCCTCTGCCTCACTGCGAGGGGCTCCAGTCCCACAAGCGGGAGTCGATGCCCAAAGCCCCCAGCTCTCCCTCAGTGGCCGTGTGGCCCCAGGTGTGCCCGCCCCTCTCCGGGCCTCCCTGGTGTGGGTTGGCCACTGGCCGGTCCCTTAGCTGTGGGGTCTTTGGAGCCCAGTCTTGGTTGTACCCCGAGCCACCGTGAGGGTAGAGGGGCGAGGTCACCCGGAGGCAGGCTGGCCACAGCCCATGGGCACAGCTGTCTTCAGCGGTCTGTGCAGGCACAGCCGGTTGCCAGAATGCCAGGAGAGCCGGCTGTTGCTTGCAAGCGTCTGGGGAAGGCGTGCGATCGGAAGCCCAGGTCCCGGCTCTGCAGAGGGGAGCGGGCCAGCCTGCCACGTCACAGCCCTGCCTTGGCCCTCAGCCCCCTGCCCTGCCTTCCAGTCCTGACTTCCTGAGCACCCGGGACCTGGCGCTGCCGGCTGAGCCACTGCCCCCTCTCCTGGAACCCCACATGTGGGCCCAACTGGAGAGCAACTACACCAGCCTGCTGGAGGTGAGGCTGGGGCGGTGCCCGGGGCTGCCGGTGGGGCTCACTCACCCTCTGGCTGCAGGGGCCTGGAGGGGTGGGCCTGGCCCCAGGGGCACAGCAGTGGGTTCGGGAGGACCTCTCGGGGGCGCGTCCCATGGTGCCCGCGTCTCCCTGCCCAGACGGAGATCGCCGGGTGCTTGGACAGCATCCTGCAGCTGGAGCGGAACCACTGGGCAACTGCCGACGGCCCCGAGGTGCTGCAGGGCCTCTACCACTCGCAGCTGTCCATCGACGTGCACATGGTGCGGCCGGCGGGGCTGGGCGGGGCTGGGCGGGGGGACAGCCAGAGCTGCCAGACCCAGTGCTTACCGCCTTTCCCGCTAGATGGGCCGCTGAGGTCCCCGGGAGGTGGGGCGGGGCCCGGGGAGGCGGAGGACGGGGCGCAGGGGTGTGAAGAGGGACCCTCAGCTTGGGCTGCTAGCAGGGAGCTGGATCCCAGACTGGCGGAGTGGGGTGGCCCGGGGGTGGCGCGGGGTGCCCAGGCGGGGTCAGCGTGTGGTCTTGCTCGCAGCTGGTGGCCCAGCACGTGAAGGCGGCCGGCGCCATCTCGGCGCAGCTGGAGGCCACCATCCTGCGGATGTGCGCGCAGGCGCTCAGCATCTTCGTCCCCAGGTGCGGGCACATCCTTGGCCGGGCGGGGTCCCGTTTGCCCAGGGCCGGGGTGGGGGCGGGGCGAGGGCCGTTCCGGCCCCAGCTCTGTAGGTGGGCAGTGGGGCCTCAACACGGGCCTCTGCAACGCCGCCCGCAGGTTTGAAAAGGCTTTGCTGGAGTCGCCAGCGGTGAGGGCGCCGCACCTGGGCGCCTACATTAACGCCTGCGCCGAGATCAGGTAGGCGCCTGCGGCTCCTCCAGAGGGCGTGTCCACGCTGGCCAGCAGGGGGCGCGCGCGCTCCAGGAACATGGAGGAGCCGCCTGCGGTGTGGGGTGCTGGTGGGGAGGGAGACAAGAGGCTGGGCCCTGCCCTGGAGTGTGGACCTAGTCGAGCTTCCCCGGAGGCACCAGGGACCGGTTCCTTCTCTGCCCCACAGTGAGGTCCTCCCTGAGCCCAGGGAAGCTGGGCCCCGGAAGGGACAAAGGCCGGGTTTCCAGGCTAAGCAGAGGCCGGGATTCTTCCTCCTCCTCCTCCTCTTCTGGGAAGCCCTCCCTGACTCCTTGCCCCGGGCTGTGCTGGGGTGGTCTGGGGGTCTCTGTCCCCAGAAGGAAGAGGCCCGCCCACCCTGGGGACTGGCAGTGCTGCCTGCCTTCTGTGTCCTCAACCCCAGGGCCCCAAGGACTACGGGCATGGAGCCCAGTGTCCCCCACAGCGGATGCACCATGCGCAGAAGGCAGTCAGTGAGGCAGGGCAAGACACTCTGTCTCGGATGGGGTCCTGGGCTGCCACCTGCTGCGACGTGCCCAGGGCACGTCCCTTCCTCTGTGTCTTCTCATCTGTCAGATGGGACCTGGGCACCTGCTTCCTAGGGCTGTGGGGACACGGTGCCTTAGAGGACCCTTCCTCTGGCCCAGTGCAAGCGCTTGCGACGCGCCAGGCCCTGTGCTGGTTGGTCTTCCCCAAGTGCAAGGCACCCACGTGCAGTCGGACAGGAAACACTGGTTCTCCATGGCCACACAGCCAGGCTGCCTGTATCCGCCACGCTGCTTTTCTGGGTCTCTGCCAGGCGGCTCCTTGGCACTGGGGTCTCTGAGGGCTTAGCCCAGGGGCCGTCTTGGCCCCTCTGGAGGCAGCCTCCGGCTGATTCCTGAAGGAACTTCAGCTCTGCTGTTTCCCTGGGCATAGCCCGGCCCTCGGGCTCCCAGCACCCTCGGGGGCTCAGTGGGGGGCGTGTGCCAGGCCTGGCTGTGCTGCTTGGCCAATTACTGCAGGGCACAGAGGGTTTATCCCGGAGTGGCCACGGAGCCCAGCCAGTGCCGCCCGCCGACCTCGGCTCCGTGACTGGCTCTGGGGCCTGACCTGACGCTGCCCCTCGCAGTATAGTCCAAATGGGTGGGGTTGGGGGCTGTGCGCCAAGCCTTGTCCCCCAGCCCCAGCTGCTCCCCGTGATGTGTCCCGGCCACTTCCCAGGACTCATCTTCTGGCCAAGTTCCCAGGAGCCCTGGAGGAGCTGACGCAGCCCCTGGAGGCTGCCACCCAAAACTTCCAGAAGCACCTGCTCCAGGGCTTGAAGAGGGACGTGCAGGTGAGCGGGCAGGCCTTTCTCCCCCGGTGAGCGGGGCAGGTGAGCGGGCAGGTGAGCGGGCAGGCCTTTCCCTCCCGGTGAGCGGGGCAGGTGAGCGGGCAGGCCTTTCTCCCCCAGTGAATGGGGCAGGCCTTTCTCTCCCTACTCGCCATGCCCAGCAGGTGCCCAGGGGCCAGGCCCAGCGCTGATTTACCACAGGGGTGTGAGTGAGGGCTAGGAAGGCACACAGAGGACTTCCCAGGCTCCCCTTCGTAGGGGTCAACAGCCAAGCCTGGGTCAGTGTGTTCACAGGCTGGATCAGGCCGAGGCCTCTCCTCTGGCCCCTCAAGACCCCCAGGGCACCCCTGAAGCTGGGCCTGGCTGGATGCTGCACCAGAGCCCGGCCTGGAAGAGGCGTTGTGGGAGAGACCCAGTGACATAACCTGTGGCTAAGGCGAGGAAGCACCGTGAACCCCGAAGAGAAGGGGTCAGAAATTGGGTGGGGCAGGGAGAGGGGGCTTGAAGGACTGCCCCTGCCCTCTGTCCCCAGCCACTGTTCAGGGCCGTGTGCACCAAGGGCTGGCTCACGGAGGACCTGCTGGGGCCCCTCATGGACAGGGTGGTGGCCTTCGCCCGCCACCTGGAGCACGTGGTCCCGCCACAAGCGCAGGTAGGCGGTGTGGGGGGGGGTGTCATTGGTTGGCTGTGCCCAGGGCTGGGGCCTTGGACCCTGACCTGGACACCACCTGCCCAGGAGATTCTGCAGGAGGTGCACCGCTACGTGGTCCGTGAGTACCTGGTGCAGGTGCTGAGACCACAGGAGCGATTCCGGGGCACGGACCGGGTGAACGGCTCCCAGAAGATGAGTCTGGACGCCCAGGCCATTAGCAACACCTTCCAGGGCTTGGTAAGAGCAGTGTTTACTGCCCTGCCCCCACTGCTGCTGGGCTGCGAGGGGGCGGGGCCAGGTGGGCTGCACTTTGCCCGTATTTGCATACAGCTTGTGGTGGGGTGGGTGAGGGTCCCAGCGGGGCCTGTGGAAGGTCTCTCTCCAACCCAGACCCCGAGCCCTTGGGGCAGGGCCCCTGCCGCCCTCCATCCGTTGTCTGAGCTGTGGACCGCTCAGCTGCGGGCGGGGACGCAGGGGCTGCGGCAGGACGGCCTGGCCCGCACACAGGTGCGCCTGTCCCGGTCTCCGCAGGGCTCTAAGGCCACGTGGCTGGACCAGGCCATCCCGTGCGTGGCCGAGATCCTGGGCGAGACCTACAAAGACGACATCAGGAAGCATCTGCAGACGCTCATAGAGACCTACCCCGACTTCAGGTTCGTAGCCACCTGTTCCCCACTGGGGGAGGCCACGGGTCCTGGCGCTAGCCCCTTCCAAGGAGTCCGGGGCCCACAGGGCGGGCGGGTGAGGAAGCCAGGGTGAGGGGCGCGGCCCGGCGCTGGCCGGGGTCCCGACCGCCCCTCTGCCATGACCTATTATTCCTCACGCTCCTGGATCGGCCCCGCGGCGCGACCCCGACCCCGGGGGAGCCCGAGCCTGCCTGGAGGCAGGAGGTCCGGGGAGTGCTGGGGCCGTGGAAATCCCAGTTCAAGTCTCCGTGACCTTGGAGAATCCGGAACGACGCAGAGGCCGCCCGAAGCCCCGCCCCCGGCGCTCGCCCCGCCTTCCCTCCCATGGCCCGCCCCCCCTGGCGCGGCGCTCCGGGCCCCCCCCCACCCCGCCCTGGGTCGGCCGGCGAGCCCCGCGCCGGGACCCCGCAGGGAGGGGGCTCTCGCCTCGCGCTTCGCCCCGCTCCGCCACGGCCCCTGCGGAAGGAGCCCCCACGGCCCCGGGCCTGCCCCCGGCTCCCGTGCGCCCTGCCCAGCCCCCGGAGCGCTGGGGGCGTGCCTCGTGCCGGCTGCTCGGGCCAGCTCGCCCTGACCGCGCGCGTGTCCTCGCAGGCGGGACCACGTCCTGGCCGTCCTGGCGCTGCGCCGCCTGGGCCGCCGGCGGAACCAGAGCCTCCTGCGGCACGCGCAGGCCCTGCTGAGAGCCGCGGCCCAGGCCCGGGGCCCCGCGGCGCCGCCCGCGCGCGTGCTCTTCGACGAGATCGAGGTGCCCGCCTCCGTGGACGTGCTCCTCACCTGTGTCTAGTGCGGCCGGCCTGCGGCGGCTGGAGGCCGCGCGCGGAGCCCCCGGCGGGGCCGAGGCTCGCTCTGGGCCGGCCTCCCAGCTCTGAAGCCGGCAGTTGCTCTCAGCCCTGCACAGCTGCGGGACCCGCCGGGAGGAAGCCGTCCCCGGCGTGTGTGGGGGAGTGTTTGGGGCAGCGGGGTGCCGTCCACGCGGCAGGACTGTCCAGCACCAGCCCCAGATGGAGAGGGACAGAGTATTTATTTTTAAAATAAATGAATTAAAATGGTGTCTACCTAAGGAAGACGTGGGGCCAGGCTGGCCCTTTTGTGCCCGCTGTGTGGGTGAGAGGACCGAGGCCCTGTGACTGCAGAACGGACTAGGTCTTTTTTTTTAAAAAAAGATTTATTTGTTTATTTGAAAGTCAGAGTTACACTGAGAGAGAAAGAGGCTGGTTCACTCCCCAACTGGCTGCAACGGCCAGAGCTGTGCTGATCCGAAACCAGGAGCCTGGAGCTTGGGCCATCTTCTACTGCTCTCCCAGGCCATAGCAGAGAGCTGGATCAGAAGTGGAGCAGCCAGGACTCGAACCGGCACCCATATAGGATGTTGGCACTGCGGGCAGCAGTTTTACCTGCTACGCCACAGCGCCAGCCCCAGACTAGGTCTTGACCATGAGGAACCCTGGGCCCACCGGCCTTGTGTGTCAGGTGGGCTCCCCCATCAGGGTGGGCACAGCCTGGGCCCCTCCTGGGCAGGAAACAAGGAGAGGCCAGGCCCCTTCTGAAGCTTGGGGTTTCTGGGCCAGATGTGGGCGGGGCTTCCCAGCAGAGAGTTGTCCCAGTACTGTAGGGGATGTCACTCGAGGTGTGCGGAGGGGGCAGGCCCTGCAGGGAAACCGCCTGGGGTGCACCCCCCTCTCCTGGAGCCTGGCGCCACCGTTTGGCTGCAGTCTTAGGGCGAGGCTGCTGGGAATCATTTGCATATTTACCTTGGCAGCCCCGGGCTTTCCAGGAAGGCTGGGAGCCGAGCCGGGAGATGTCCAGGGAGAAGCGGGGCTGGTGGTGATGGATGCCCACCACACCCCTGCACAGCGGGCCTCACCATGTCTGGGCCTGACCTGAAGAGAAGGGGGTGGGCGGTTGCCGGAGACCAGCTCCAGCCGGTTCAGGGGCCCCAAGGTGTGAGAGGTGTCGGCGCGAAGAAATGAGAGGCACTCACAGCAAAGCTGACGGCACGGCTCTGGCTTTTGGGCACCAGATTTCATTTTTATATGATTTTTTCTTCTTACAATGAAAAGCCTGTTGTCCATTTTTCCTAATTACATGTTTTTGATTTTCAAGGGCATGCTCAGAGCATGGGTTACAATCACAGGCAGGTGCAAGATAACAGGCTGCCCACACAAGCCACGGCGAACTTTGCAGAAATTGCTACACAAGCTAGAACGGTACCTTCCTAATCTAATCTTTACTAGAAGCCCCAAGTTCAAAGCAGACCTTTTTTAAATGGATCCCCTCTTTGCAATTTTTTCTGTAACTCTTTAATTTCTTTACTGCACTTATTTAAAGGTTTACTTAGATTTATTTTGCAGTCTTGACATCCTAGCCATGGTAGTGTTTGTAGCATATAGTGAATTAAAGCTTTAGTAACATCTGTCTTTACTCTAGTGGGAAGTATATACCAGAGAGCCTGTCGCCTTTTAATTCTTTTCTACAAACAGCTCAACCTCGCATAAGGCATTAACCCTTTCTTCTACACTAACATTCTGCTTGATGAAAGTTCTACCAGGCAATGGACACTTTGGAGGTTATGAGACTAAGTGCTCGGAATACAGCAGTCATTTGCAGGACCACCAGGAAGCTCCAGCTTGTAGTTCCCATCAGACCTAAAAGCACCAAGAGGACCGCAGCTGTCCTTCTCATGCCTGCTGAGACAGGCCTTCTGCTGTGACCTTGTCAGCAGCTGAAGCTGCCTTGGCCTCGGCAGGCGGTGACAGCAGGTGGGCCAAGTCCCAAGAACAGAACCAGGTCTCCTGCGGGTGGGACAAGAGCCCAGGAGGCCGTGGTGTCTGCACAGGTCCTCCCTGTGCCCTGCACCAGGACCGGGCAGAGTTGAATCTGAGGCTGCTGGGGCCCTGGGCTAAGTGGGTAGGGGGCCCAAGGGTCCTTCGTCTCCTCCCGGAGGGGGTGCCAGCTCAGTGCCCCTCCGCAGGCCAGGCTCTCGATGCCAGGGGCAGGGCCAGCTTGTGGGGTCTGGGGAGTATCCAGACCTCCTGGGTGAGGGGGGCGGGGCAGGAATGAGGAAGTGGAGGGGCTGGGGGTGCAGGTGCTGATAAGCAGAGAACCTGATGCTGACGGGTGTCATCTTCCCAGCAGGGGTTCAGGCTGTGCCAGAGGGAGGGCAGGTGGTGAACAGGCCAAACTGTCCCCTGCTTGACCCCACTTGTATGTCCAGAGGCCATCTGTGGCCAGGGTGGGAAGACTGGCAAGCTGTGGAGCACCTGGGAAGCCTTGACCTGCTCTGGTCCTGGCCAGGAACCCCTGCCTTGAGCCCCAGGCCCCTCCCTGAACCCCTGGCCCCTCCTGGGGAGTCAGGGGAGGGTGTGGGGAGGGGTCTGCCTGGCTCTGCTGCCATCCAGCTGTAAGGCAAGTACTTGGGTCGCTCTATGCCTCCGTTATCCAGCTGCCAAATGGGGGTGCTGTCAGCGCCTTCTGGGCTGGGAGGCCTAGGCCCCTGGCCTTCCCATGACCCCTGCCCAGGGACCTGGCCCTGGGGAGGAGAGGGGAGGCTCTAAGTCCGGGTCACTGCGTGGGGGAGGTGCCCAAGGGGAGCAGCCTGGCCTGAGCAGAGCTTCCCAGCACGGGGAGGGACTTAGGCACGGACCCTCCTAGACATGCAGGACTGTGTTCCTGAGGGTTTCCAGGCTCGAGACAGGAAACCAGGGTTTTCCAGGCACACCTGTGGTACCTGTGCCTCTGTGTGTGTGTGTGCGTGTGTGCATCTGCACCTGTGGTACCTGTGCCTCTGTGTGTGTGCGTGTGTGCATCTGCACCTGTGGTACCTGTGCCTCTGTGTGTGCGTGTGTGTGCACCTGCACCTGTGGTACCTGTGCCTCTGTGTGTGTATGCCTGCACCTGTGGTACCTGTGCCTCTGTGTGTGCGTGTGTATGTGTGTGCACCTGCACCTGTGGTACCTGTGCCTCTGTGTGTGCGTGTGTGTGCACCTGCACCTGTGGTACCTGTGCCTCTGTGTGTGCGTGTGTATGTGTGTGCACCTGTGGTACCTGTGCCTCTGTGTGTGTGTGTGCACCTGTGGTACCTGTGCCTCTGTGTGTGCGTGTGTATGTGTGTGTGTGCACCTGTGGTACCTGTGCCTCTGTGTGTGTGCACCTGTGGTACCTGTGCCTCTGTGTGTGTGTGTGTGCATGTGTGCATCTGCACATGTGATACCTGTGCCTCTGTGTGTGCGTGTGTGTGCACCTGCACCTGTGGTACCTGTGCCTCTGTGTGTGTGCGTGTGTATGTGTGTGCACCTGCACCTGTGGTACCTGTGCCTCTGTGTGTGTATGCCTGCACCTGTGGTACCTGTGCCTCTGTGTGTGCGTGTGTATGTGTGTGTGTGCACCTGTGGTACCTGTGCCTCTGTGTGTGCATGTGTATGTGTGTGTGTGCACCTGTGGTACCTGTGCCTCTGTGTGTGCGTGTGTATGTGTGTGCATCTGCACCTGTGGTACCTGTGCCTCTGTGTGTGCGTGTGTATGTGTGTGCACCTGTGGTACCTGTGCCTCTGTGTGTGTGTGTGCACCTGCACCTGTGGTACCTGTGCCTCTGTGTGTGCGTGTGTATGTGTGTGTGTGCACCTGTGGTACCTGTGCCTCTGTGTGTGTGTGTGCACCTGTGGTACCTGTGCCTCTGTGTGTGTGTGTGTGCACCTGCACCTGTGCACCCAGCAGTGCCTCAGGGCTGGGCTTGGCTTCCCAAGACCACGTCAGGTGAGCGGGAGACTAACAGCAGCCCCCACAAGGGCATAGGGAGGCTGGGAAGGAGGGTGGGCTGGGACCCAGGCGTGCGGGGTCAGGCCCCTGGTTCTGGCCCCTGGTCATTTGACTCTAGGGGTGGGAATTATACTCAGGACCCACCACCCCCTCTACCCACTGCCATGTCCCTTGAGGCCTGGTGAAGGGGCTAGGGTGTTGTCTTGGCCATCTTGTCCAGGCACGCACTGGGGAGGGGTCTGGGGGTGTGGCTCCCAGCTGGTTCTGGGCTCATTGACCAGGCACCCAGCTGGTGAGAGTGTGTGTGTGTGCCCTGCTGGGGGGAGATGTGCCCATCAGCACCCCTGGGATGGAGGGCCCTTGCCCAGCCTCCTGGCTCCACACAGGGTCAGGACCACCCTCCTGGCCTCTCAGGCTCACATCTGGGCCCCGTCAGCTGTGCCTGGCCCCGGGCTCTGCCCTGTGAGGTGCTCTCCGCCCTCCCCCTGAGGCCGCGTGCTGGAGCGAGCTCCTTCTTGGGTTCTTTTCCTTAGCTTCAGTTAGAAGTAGGCAGCTTGGAAACAATTTGCAGAAAGGAGCAATCGCTTTATTTCAGTTTGCAAAGCCGGAGTGAGGGGTCTGGTCCGAGAGGAGGCCAGGCGGACTGCCCCCTGTGGGACACTGGCTCTCAGGAAGTACGCAGGGTGTTTAAGGCATTGCTGTCGGCCGGCGCTGCGGCTCACTAGGCTAATCCTCTGCCTGCGGCGCCAGCACCCCGGGTTCTAGTCCCGGTCGGGGTGCTGGATTCTGTCCCGGTTGCTCCTCTTCCAGGCCAGCTCTCTGCTGTGGCCCAGGAGTGCAGTGGAGGATGGCCCAAGTGCTTGGGCCCTGCACCCACTTGGGAGACCAGGAGAAGCACCTGGCTCCTGGCTTCGGATCAGCTCGATGCGTCAGCCGCAGTGCACTGGCCGTGGCAGCCAGTGGAGGGTGAACCAACAGCAAAAGGAAGACCTTTCTCTCTTTCTCTCTCTCTCACTGTCCACTCTGCCTGTGAAAAAATGGCATTGCTGTCCTTCCATTGGGCCATTCTATGGGGGTGCCCATTGGACAGGGGTTCATATACTGTGTGTTGATTGGCATGGGGGCGCCCTAGAAACAGCCCAATTCCCCTTAGGGGCTCAGCCCCCTCCTGTGCTCTGGGTGGAAGATTCCAACTTGACTGTGAAAACCACAGACTCACGGATACAGAAGGCTAGTGTGGGGGAGACGCCCAAGCTCTGGGGAGAGCTGGGTCCTTCAGGACAGCCTGCGTGTACAGGACACTCTGTCCCAGGGGCCTGTGCACCCCCTTGCCCCACAGGATGGCCCCAGAGCCTGCCTGTGTCCGGGGGGCTGCCTCTGTCCCCGAGCCTGGGGCTCCAGCCTCGGCCCTGCTGAGAGAGCAGTGAGAGAAGGCACAGAGGGCAGGTGCCTGAGGGCCTGCGTGCAAGCGCGTGTGTATGCACATGCGTGTGTTCAGGTGTGTGTGTGTGTGCATGTGTGTCTGTGCAGGAGGAAGAGACATTGGTGTCCCCCCAGGACTTGGGCCCAGGAAAGACCAGGGGGGCTGAGTCCCACAGAACTGTGTCCCACCGGGCTGGGGCCTGGGGGTCCCTCCCCTGCTGCTCAGCCTCCTTGAAACACGGAAGGCAGTGCTCACTCGGGATGGAGCTGGGGGCTTCCTTCCTCGCCTGGTGACCCCAGCCCCTTCCTTCCTGGCCCCAGCCCTCAGCAGGCCCCCGCACAAGGGGCAGCACCCCCAGCGGCTAGGAGGTGGCCCCCCACAGGTGGGAACTTGAGGCTGCAGGGTCCCAGGCTCGCTTCCTCCTTAGCTCCTCTGCAGACTGCAGCTGGCCTGCAGGGTCCCGGTCAGCCTGCTGGCTGTCCCCTGGCCTGGGCTGTCCCCAGCCAATCCGGAAACCTGAGCGGGGAGGCTGTGCCGGCCACTGTGAGAAGACAAGGCCGCTGCAGGCAGATGCCACAGCACCCCAGGTCTGGGGACTGGAGCCTGTGGTGTGTGGGGGGGGACTGCCGGGAGGCGGGAGTCCTGGGGTGGAGGGCCGCCAGCCTCAGTCTGCTCTCCCGGATGCCCTGCTCCTGGGAGATCCTCACAGAGAACTGAAACCTCAGCAAGTGACACCACCCCTCGGCCACGCCCTCTGGGACCCCAGCTTCCGGACTGCTTGTGGCAGGGCCCTGCCAGCTGTCTGGGCTCAGACCCCACCCCCCAACTACGGGCCATTTCACTGCGTGTTTTGGGTAGTAATACAACCACACAGGACAAAATTTAAAAGGTCCAGGCAGGATACAAGGCAGAGTCTCCTCTTTTCCCTCCCACGTAGCAGCCACAGTCGCCTGCAGGACACGGGGCCCGCCCGAGGAACACCGGGAAGAGTGGACCTGGGAGCCATGCAGGAGAGGGGCTGGGCTGCGGGCGACAAGCAGCCCCTCCTGTTGGCGAGAAAGCACTGATAAGCCCAAGACCCTTTATTTCAAAATTCTTTTTAAGGTTTTATTTATTTTATTTGAGAGGTAGAGTTACAGACAGTGAGAGGGAGAGACAGAGAGAGGTCTTCCATCCCCTGGTTCACTCCCCAAATGGCTGCAATGGCTGGAGCTGAGCCGATCCGAAGCCAGGAGCCAGGAGCTTCTTCCAGGTCTCCCATGTGGGTGCAGGGGCCCAAGGACTTGGGCCATCTTCTACTGCTCTCCCAGGCCATAGCAGAGAGTTGGATCAGAAGTGGAGCAGCCGGGACTAGAACCAGCGCCAGTATGAGGTGTCGGCACCACAGGTGGAAGATTAACATGCTGCAACATGGCGCCGGCCCCTATTTCAAATATTTTTAAAAGAATTTGTTTGAAAGGCTGTGTGGGCCGACGCCACAGCTCACTAGGCTAATCTTCTGCCTGCGGCACCGGCACCCCAGATTCTAGTCCCGGTTGGGGCGCCAGATTCTGTCCCGGTTGCTCCTCTTCCAGGCCAGCTCTCTGCTGTGGCCCGGGAGTGCAGTGGAGGATGGCCCAAGTGCTTGGGCCCTGCACCCCATGGGAGACCAGGAGAAGCACCTGGCTCCTGGCTTCGGATCAGTGCAGCGCGGGCCGTAGCAGCCATCTGGGGAGTGAACCAGCGGAAGGAAGACCTTTCTCTCTGTCTCTCTCTCTCACTAACTCTGCCTGTCAAAAAAAAATAAATAAATAAAGGCTGTGTGGCAGAGGGAGGGGGAGAGCAACCACTGGTTCACTCCCCAAATGGCAGCAACAGACAGGGCTGAGCCAGGCTGCAGCCAGGAGCCAGGACTCCACATGGGACGCTGGCCCGAAGCAGGGCAGCCTGGACTTGAACCAGTGCTCTGACGTGGGATGCGGACGTCACCAGCAGCAGTGTTACCCGCGGCCCCCCTCCAGCAGAGCACAGGCCTTGTGGGTGGGCTCCCCAAGCATGGGAATCTCCTGGCCTGGGAAGGAGAAGTGCCGTGGTTTCGGGGCACCCGCAGGCCGGCGCTCTGGCTTCCCGTGGGCTCAGTGCAGTGGTCAGAATCGGTTTCTGGATCCGGGCACCCTGGGTGCCTGCGTGTCTAGCTGCTGGGCTCTGCCTGCCTGCCATGGGAGGGGGCAAGGCAGGAGCGGGCAGGCGTGTGGTGGTTGTCATTCCTCCTGCGCCCAGCCCCACAAGGCACAGACACGGATGTGAGTTTGTGGGAGCTTCCCAGGGCCCAGATGTCACTGCCCCCAGCCGCCCTCACTGTGCCTCCCCCTCTGAGGCTGGGGAGCCCGGAGAGGCCTCTGTGTGGTCTGGGGGAGCCTCCCTCCCCTCCGGCCCTGGCTGAGCCCCAGGGAGTATGGGGATTCCCAGGGCTCCTGCCTCTGCCTGGAGCAGCAGCCGGCAGCTGTCTTCCGGGAAACTGTGCCGTTTCCATGAAGGCCCCGCGGGCTGCTGGGACTGGGCAGCCCTGGACGGAGGAGCGGGTGCTGAGTCAGGCGCTGTGTCACAGCTGACATCCCTGTGAGGGGCTGGGCTCTGCTAGGAGAGAGCTGGGTGCGGGGACGGCGACGCCCACGTGTGACTGCCCCAGCGAGCCCCTGCGTCCCCGAACTCTGGCAGGGCCCACTCCTCCAGGGAGCCCTCCCACACTGGTTCTAGGGCCTTATCTCAGGGAGGGAGGTGGGCCTGGCTCTTGGTGCCTGCAGAAGTCCTCGGGCCTCAAACACCAGCAGCCCTTGGCCTGCCTCATGCCCTCCTGGGAGAAAGGGGAGGAGCTGTTGACAAGTAACCGGCTTCCCCTGCGGCGTGCCTGGGGGCCCTACTTGTGTAAGGGGCCCTGTGAGGGTGGCGCCTGCTCTGCTGCGTGGCTGTCCCGTGATGCCCAGCGGGTCAGCAGACTGACCAAGGCCACGTGCAGCTGCAAGCGATCCTGAACCGGTCACTTCCCTCTTGGGGCAGGCTGTGTGTCCCCAGCCTCCGGGTCTGCTCACTCTGTTCACCTGTCAACAGGGCGTACCTGTGCGCGGGCAGTCAGTGAGCGGGGCCTCCCCAGGACGCAGCGGCCTCAGGAGGCGTCCCAGGACTGGCCCTGGCCTGAGACCCGCGAGTGCGGAGCACGGTGGGCGCCTGCATCCCCTGAGCCCAGGCAAAGGCAGAGTGGGAAGAAGTGCAAGTCATGGGGAAGAAGGAAGTGGGCCGTGCTGGGGGAGGGGCCGAGCTCCTGGAATGCACTGGTTCCGCCTCCTGGGGAGCCCACCCCAGGCCGCACTGCGCCCGCATGGGCGATCCAGGCACCAGCCCTGCTTCCTGGCCAGGCTTCCTGCGCCGGGGCCCTGTGATCGCAGAGCCCTGTGCCCTGCCTTTGCACCTGCTGACCCCTGCCCCGGGAAGCCTCTTCCCTCTGCCGCCAACTTCCTCTCTCCAGAGAGCTTCCCTCCAGCCCAGGGGTGAGCAGAGAGAAGGGCACCAAACACACCCTGCCCTGCTACCAGTCTCCGGCCAGGGCTGGGCCAGCCCCTCCTGCTGGGTCGCAGGGTGGGCGCGGAAGTCTAATTAAGTGACTGAACAAGGAGTTGAGTGAAAAAGGTTGGAAACTTCTTATTGTTAAAGATGGAAGAGGTGCAAACGACGGTCCAAGTTTCCGTGTCTTCATTTGAGTTCTCTGGCCTGGAAGTCCCTGTGTCTGACTTCAGTACGTCAAGCTGCATTTTATTTATTTTTATTTTTTTCAAGTTGCATTTTAGACACGGAGCAACACTGGACAAGAAGCAAGATGGCACGGTGCTGAGTGAAGGGACTCCCTCTCCAGCTGAGGGCGCGTGATTGAACCCATCTGTGCCTCGGTTTCCTTACCTGTGAAAGGGGCACAGTTAACCAGCACTGCTTCATTAGGTGCCTGACATGCAAAGCGCCAAGAGCGGAGTCGAGCACCGGCGAAGGTCAACAGGTGTCAGCTGTCCGCCCAAAAGAACTGGCAGCAGGAACCGAACATTAGCGCGCCCCTGTTCACGGCATCACTGGCCGTGGCAGCCACGCGTCCGTCCAGGGATGAACGATGCATCTAGCGTGTGGGTTACGCCACCGCCTGCAGCACCAGCGTCCCAGCTGCTCGCCTCTGAGCAGCTCCCGGGAAAGGCAGAGGGGGTGGACAAACCCAGGGCCCCTGGGGAGACCTGGATTCCTGGAGGGAGCGCCTGGCTCCTGGCTTCAGATCGGTGCAGCTCTGGCTGTTGCGGCCATCTGGGGAGTGAACCAGCGGATGGAAGACCTCTCTCTCTCTCTCTCTCTCTCTCTCTCTCTCTCTCTCTGCCTTTCCACTCTTTGTGTAACTCTAACTTTCAAATAAATAAATAAATCTTAAAAAAAAAAAAAAAAAAACAGAATCTTAGACAACAACAAGAGTCAGCTGTGAGTGCTCCAGCAGAGGGAAGGGAGGGGACCTCCTGCGGGTCTGGGGAGTCAGAGCCAGGCTGCTCTTGCCCGCTGGGTGCAGCTGGCCCACTGCCCCCAGCCTCACCCGTACCCCCCACAGAGCTGGGGAATGGCCCGGCTGCTTGCTGGTCGGGAACTTCTAACCAGCATCAGTTTCCGGCTGGAGGAGGAATTCTTGGCTGGCCTTTGTCTCCCCTGGAAGGGCCTGGCTCTTGGGGCTGCTTCCTCATCTGTCAGGGGTGTGACAGCAGCCCCTGCCCTGGGGTGCCCGAGCTGTCACCTCTTAGGCGGCTTCAGAAGGGTTCCCTGGCGCTGGGGATTTCAGGGACGTCACTGTAAACCCCCAGACGGGAGCTCAGAGGTGGAGCAGTGAAGGCGACGGGGCCCTGCCCATGCTGGGGGCTGTCCTTTCTGTGGGCTGCCGATTGCGCAATGCGGCCCCAGCAGGCAGCCGCAGAGGCAGGAGCCAGGGCCCCCTCGACCGCGTTCCCATCGTCCCTGTTTGCATGGACTTGGCTGGGCCTGGCCCTGGACTTCCCATCTGTGCGGTGAGGAGCCCGGGGGCCCTGTGGCTCTGTGGGCTCAACTGAAGAAGTCTTTTTTTTCTCTTTTTTTAAGATTTACATATTCATTTGAAAGGTAGAGAGTGAGAGAGAGAGAGAAGGAAAGACAGGGAGAGGAGGAGACCTTCCATCCTGTCGTTCACCCCCCAGGGGGCTGCAACAGCCAGGGCTGGACCAGGCTGAGCCAGGAGCCTGCAGTTCCATCCTGGTCTCCCACGCGGGTGACAGGGACTCAGGTACTTTGGGCCATCATCCGCGGCTTTCCCAGGCACGTCAGCAGGGAACCAGGTCAGAGGGGGCACCGGACTCCAGCCTGCACCCCAGTATGGGATGCGGGTGTCACAAGCAGTTGCTTAAATGGCTGTGCCACAATGCCAGCCCTCTCCCTCCTGTTTTTAAATTTTTAGTCATTTATTTTCATTTTATTTGAAAGGAAGATAGAGATCTTACATCCACTGCTACACTCCCCACATGCAGGCAACAGTCAGGCCAGAGCCAGGAGCCAGGAACTCCGCCAGGGTCTCCCACGTGGGGACGGGGCCCTAAGTACCTGAGCCATCACCAAGACGCTGGGACCAGGAACAGAGGAGCAGGGACTGGAGCCAGACATTCTGAAGTGGGGTGCAGGGTCTTAGCTGCTGCCCCAGAGGTGGGGCTTCCTCAGGAAGAGGGCGGTCGGGGCGGCGCTGTGGCACAGCAGGTAAAGCCGCCGCCCACAGTGCCGGCATCCCACCTGGGTGCCAGTTCAAGTCCCGGCTGCTCCACTTCTGATCCAGCTCTCTGCTATAGCCTGGGAAAGCAGCAGAAGATGGCCCAAGTCCTTGGGCCCCTGCACCCATGAGGGAGACCCAGAGGAAGCTCCAGGCCCCTGGCTCCTGGCTCCTGGCTTCAGATCGGCACAGCTCCAGCCACTGTGGCCATCTGGGGAGTAAACAAGCCGATGGAAAACCTCTCTCTCTCTCTGCCTCTGCCTCTGCCTCTCTGTAACTCTGCCTTTCAAATAAATAAATAAATAAATCTTGAAAGGAAGAAAGAGAGAGCGGGCTGACCTGCACTGTGGGGCTGGCAAGGCCTGTCCCTTGCCCTGGCCTCCCCGGCAGCGCGCTGGATGAAGCATGGCCTTCACCTGTTTGGAAGGCTCAGCCCCAGCTGTATTCAGAGCCCAAGTCCCCGCAGCCGCTATTCGGAGAACAGACAGAGCCCCTCTTCTAGGGGCCCATTTCTCTGGTGTTCGCAGTCACCTCTCACACCCAGACTCTCCCCTTGGGGAATGCTTCTAGGGGTCTCTCGCTCCTGGGGTCCGCGGCGGCCCCCGGGGGCCATCCGCGTGGGAGCACAGGCACCGCTCCTCCTGCGGGTTTCTACCTTCACAGACTCTCTCTGTCTCTCTCTCTCTCACACACACACACCAGGGGCTTTCTGGCCTTGGTGTCCTGCCCCCAGGGTCTCTCTCTCTCTCACACACACACACACACACGAACACACACCTGCAGCTCCCCCCACCCCCACAGCCAGTGCATCACACACCAGGATTCACCCAGAGCACCACTGGTCCTGAGACTTCTCCCTGCACCCAGCTGGCAGGGGGCGCCCAAATCCAGCCCCCTTTTCTCCTCAGCCCTCCCTTGGCCCGAACCCCAGGCAACCCGCTGGGCGCTGCTCCGATCAGGGCAGCTTTGGCTTTCAGCGCTCAGCACGGCTCCTCCTGCCCCCGCCCCCAGCAAACTCCCCCAGGACGGGAGGCAGAGTCGCGCGACCCGAGCCAGCCGGGCACTGGGCCACGTCCCCAGGAGGAAGAGGAAGTCCCCATCCCAAGGGGCAGCCCCGCTCCAAGCACCCCCGCAGCTGCTCCTCCCCAGCCTCGAAGACCCGAGTGCCCAGGCCGGTGGGGGGGGGGGGGCGGGAGAAGAAGGGCCAAACAAAAGGGGGAGGAGCAGAGGCTCCCGCCAGAAAGGGAAGCTGTGCCCGGCCGGGAAATTCCTGGCTGACAAGGTCCTTTCCAAAGGGCAGGAATTCCTAGGACGCGAAAGGGGACAGGGAGGGAGTCCGCGCAGGGCCGCCCCACCCCGCCCTCCTCCGCATCTCACCGCCCGCGAGGCACACCCCGGCAACCAGGGTTTCGGTGGGGGAAACTGAGGCGCCACCGCCAGGAGCCCCGTGCTCCGCGCGCGTCAGTGCCGATCGGCCCGCGCCGGGAGCCCACCGCCCGAGCTGGGAGCCGGCTCTGTGACGCGGGAAGGGGCTGCGAGCGCCGGGCCCCTTCCCCGCAGCCAATCAGCAGCCCGGCCGGCGCCTCGCCCCGACGGGAACCCCACGGGCGCCACGGCCCGGCCTCCGCCCGCGGGTTTTCCGCGGTCGCAGGGGCGGGGCGGGGCGGGGCGGGGCCTGCCGCTACTTCTGGCGGCGCGGCGCGCGGCGGGGCCAGCTGCGGCCGGGCCAGCA